CACAGTTCTAGCCCTGGGCTTTCTTCCCACTCTGGAGTCCATCTTAGATCTCACCCATTTAAACACACGATTCTGCTTTTCCTGAAGTTAATTTATAGTTAACTTGAGAAACTGCATATGTATATGCAGTTAACGATGGGCGCACGTTCTGTGAAATTCGTTGTTACATGCTTTTGTCATGTGAACATTAAAGCAGCTAGGTCATTTAATCTTATGAGAACCATCATCCTATAGGGAACATGTTCAGTATTCTTACAGGGGTTGCATGTTATCAAATATAACTCTGATAGAGTGGAGAATATCCTCTTAATACATTAACACAGCAGGTTTTTTTCTTTCTCATCCTTTTTGGACCCTTTCATCCTCCCATTCACACCTGAACAGTTGTCTGGTACCAACATGGCCCTTTCTTTCCTATCACTTTGGAAATCCCCTTGTGTCTCTTCCTTTGTTAGATGTCCTCCTTTCTGGACCCGAGGTCTTCCTCTTCTAAAAAATTATCTTAGAGTGTTTCCCTAGTGAGCTCAAGGCCCTGAGTTCAAACCCCAGTGCCACCAAAAATTTTTTTAAAAATTAAAAAATGAAATTAAAATTTGAAAAAAATTATCTTATTGTGGTAAATGTAACATAAAATTGCAATTTAATCATTTTAAGTGTACAATTATTGATGCTATATATTGTGCATTCTTCATGCTATACAATGATCATTGCTGTTTTCAAAAAAAAATTTCTCCTCCAACTTTTTTGTGGCATAATTGCTACAGTCATGAGAAGCTGACACAACTTCTTTTTTGGATTGGTCTTTTTAAGTGTACAGAGACATGATCAATTTTTTGTGTGTATTTATCTTGTATATGCAACTTTGCTAAGTTAATTAGTTCTGGTGGCTTTCTTATAGATGTCTGGGATTTTCTAGATATAAGATCATGTTATCTGTGAATATAATTTTATTCTTTCCTTTCCAATTTAGGTGGCTTTTCTTTTTCTAATATAATTGCTTTGGCTAGAACAAGAAGGAATAGAGGTGCTGGAAGCAGGCGTCCTTATCTTGTCCCTGATATTTGGGATAGTGTCTTATCTTTCATCACTGAGTGTGATGCTAGCTGTGGGCTTTTTTGCAGATGCCTTTTGTCATGTTGAGCAAGTTCTCCTCCATTCCTAGTTTTCTGAATCTTTGCTGTTTTCATGAAAGGATGTTGGACTTTGTCAAATGCCTTTTCTGTGTCAATTGAGATATCAAGTGTTTTCCCCCATTCCATTAAGTGCTGTGTTACCTAGATTTTATGTTGAAACACCTGCATTCCTGCAATCGTCCTCTTTTTCCATTTACTCTCTCATTTTTGATGGAGCACATTCTCCAGTGGCTTCCTGAGGAAAGATACATGGGAGGTAAAAGTTTGGAACCCTGTATATCTGAAAATGTTCTGCCTTCACACTTGATTGACAACTTGCCAGGAACATAATTTTCTTTTGCTTTGCAATGGTAAAGTCACTGCTCCAGACACTGCTCCACTGTCTCCTTTCAGATACTGCTATTGAGAAGCCCAATACTATTGTGATTCGTGTTCCTTTGGATGAGACCTGTTTTATTCTCTCTGAAAGCTTTTGGGACCTTCTTTTTGTTCTCATTATTCTGACATTTCACAATAGTGTAGCTTGATATCATTCCTTTTGTATCTTTTGCTAGGCATTCAGTGTGAGCTCTCAAGTCTATGAAAGTTCCTTTTTTGTTTGTTTCTGGTGGTGGAGATTGGACCCAGGGCCTCAGAGGTGCCAGGTAAGCCTCTACCACTGAGATGCTGCTTCTTTTTAGCAGTTACTGGGGTTTGAATTCAGGGCCTTGCACTTGCCAGGCAGGTGCTATACACCTTGAGCCACACCCCAGCCCTCCTGTTTTATTTTATTGATATAATTTCCTTTCTCTGTTCTTACTGGAATTGCTATTAGCCACGTATGTCTTCTGATTTTTAAATTCTTTTCCATTTTTCATCTTTATTTTTATTCTACTTTCTGGGCAATATTCTATTTTTTCTTTTGAACTTTGTGTTGACTGTTTATTTCTGCAATCACATTTTAAATTTCCAAGTCCTTTTCTTAAAATTAAAATTTTTTGAATCATACATTAATAATATGAGGGGATTTCATTTTGCAATTTCCATACATGTGTACGGTATGCCTTGAACAAGCTCACCCCATCATTACATTTCCATTCCTCCTCTCCCCAAAAGCCCTTTTATTTCAATTTTTCTTTTGGTATGTGTGTGTGGGGGTACTGGGTTTTGGTATGTGTGTGGGGGGTACTGGGTTTGAACCCTGGGCTTTGTGCCTGCTAGGCAGGCACTCTACCACTTGAGCCACGCTTCAGCCCTCAATGATTCTTTTCTTTTTGTTGTAGCCATGGCTGGTAGAGGATTAGCTTCTGATGAATGGAAGGATCAACTCTTCACTGTGACAAGAAAGCAAGAGAGAAGGAGGGATGTGAGTGGAGAGGCTCATGCTGTAGAGATGGCAGGAAGGTGGACGTTTTTCTCCTGTCATGACGGTGAGGGCACCTATGAGATGATGGAGAAGGTAAAGTCAGAGACCACTGGTCTACTGTGGCACCATCTGCCCAGTCACGTAAGGTCCTGGTGAAGGGGGAGGAGACGGGCTCTTGGACAGCTTAGTGGTTGGTATTCTCCTAGCCAAGTGGTCTGGAAGAGCTGCAGGGCAAAGAAATTAAGGACATTGACAAAAAAGGGCTTCAGTGGTTGAACATGACATTTCTTCCATGTTCGTACCTGCTTACAAACTCTAGAAGCCTTAAATCCCAACCATTCAGTTGACATTTCCCCACATGAAAGCTTGATAATATGTTAAAAACTGGAGGCATCGCTGAATTTTCTGCCCTTGGCCATTCATAAAACAGCACGGGTCAGATCCTTTCCCACACTGCTCCTTGGGGATTCCCATTATTAGCTTCAGCATAGGCTGGTGTACCCACCTACTCTCAGTCTGTTTCTTATCTTTAAAATAGTATACAAACAGATCCTCTAGGGCTTCTGCCCAATCACAGGAAGATGCTTTGGTCTCTCAGTAATGGGAGCACTGGTGTCCACTTAGTTTCTGAGTATTCTACCAGGAAAAGAGAAACAGACGCTGGCTGTGTATCATCTAGTTGTTTGAATTTATTTATGTTGTTACAATACACTGACAAATCACACCGAATTTTGTTTTTAGCTTTTTCTCACTCAAGAGCTACTTTAGTTTAAACCAGAGATTCTCTTAAAGAGCACAGGTGTGTGCAGGGCACACACATACACACCACAAGGCAAGTACAAAAATGCAATCCCACCAAAGTGCATGGGAATGAAAGTGCAAATGGGCTTCATTTTCAAACTCTGGGACCATTCTCTCTGCCTTAGAAATTAAACAGAAAGGCCGTCTCTTTCCTAGGCCGGGGATGGGCACGGGCTGGGCAAGCCTGCCGGGGCCAAAGTATAAGTGGTGTCTGCTGCTAGAAAGCAGGGCACAGGGCACCAGGAACTGCCACCCACTCCCTCCCCTCCTGCGGTCCCAGGTCAAGGTGCAATGACGTCATCTGGGACACAATGTGGGTGAAGGGGCAGCAGGATGGACAGAAGGCAGATTTCTTTTCATTTTTTTATGGTTTGGTTTCTTTCCAAAGAGTCTGACGTTCATGTAGAAAGTGCTGAGACCTCAAAGTTCAGAGGCTTGGGGCCTTTTCCCAAGGCCTTTGGTCCATCTGACCTTTCCCATAGGCCAGCATCATTTGCAGATCCACACAGCAAAGGTCATGAGTGCTTGCTGCCTTCTCATCCCACACAGTCAGTGAGCATCTCAGGAGAAGACTATGACCAAGGAGCCAATGAGATCTGCTGCTACTCAGATAGCCAAGATAAAAAGAGTATGGGCTTGCTCCTCTCTGCTCTTAGCCAAGGGACAGCAGTTCACCTCTGCAAACCCAGCCCTTCTCTGTGGCAGACCTTGCCTGGTGTCCTCCCAGGAAGGCTACCCCCTGAGGGCTGAAAGGGAAGGGATGTCTGAGGCTCTGCAGAGGCTGGCTGGGGCCTGAATGGCTGAATGGAAAAGCTGTTGGCCCATGAGAAAGAAGTCCCTATAGGGCTGTGGCAGGCAATCAACAGAGCTGTGGGTTTCTCACTTCTAAGGAAAAAATAAAGCTTTGCATTTTAACAATAGCCCTTGACATATTCCCAATACTGCGCCTCACATCTGCACCAATCAAACACTTCTGAGTGTCACACACACACACACACACACACACACACACACACACAATCATAGGACTGAGGAGGAGCCTGGGAAAGGTCCACTGGCTCCACAGCCTGCAGGGCCACCTCAGCACCTGGGGGCATAGGAGCTTGGCATTGGCCCCTATGCCCATATGGAGCTGGCTCCTGCTGTGATCTAGCCCTTCTCATGCAGGCTGGGAGGCAAGTTTGGCAGTGGCTCAGTGGGGACTGGGCCCCCACTTGAACAGAAAGATCTAATTCCCAGAGCTCCAGCAGGGACCCAGCTGGCAGTGCAAAAAAGATGGGAAGTGGCAAGAAGGGCTTAAGGGACCTGGAGAGTTCACCTTCCAAACTCATCTTAAGTGATCTCTGTAAGATTCCTCAAAAGCAGTGGTAAACAAGTAAGGGACAGGTGGAACGTGATGTCATGGGGGCTGTGTGCTAGACTGAGTGCCACCTTGTCCTGGCAGGAGGCCTGGCAAGCAGGGGGCCCTCACCTGGCTGAGATCCACAGCTGCAGAGAGCCTTTAGTGTCACCATGCCTGCTGGAGCTGCCCACTGGGCTGGTCTCCTGCCTGGACTACCTACCAGACCAGACTTCTTCCTCCTCAGACCCAAAAAAGAAAAGGTGTGTGGGGCACATCAGTGGTCCTCAATGTCTGCTAGTTGTAGAACAGGCTCCAACTGCCTGCTCACTCTGCTGGAACTAGGACTCAACATGTACCACTTCAATGCTAAGTGGTCCAGAACTGAGCATGTTGAAGAAGGCATCTTAGCTCTGAATCTTCTCCTCTTCTGGGTGAAGGGGAGAAAGGTAGCCAGATGTTCCCAATGGGTCCCATGATGACGTGTTTCTGGGGCTCCCACTGTTAAGGGGGAAGAGCCATGAGGTCTGGCTGGACCATGCCTTGGGGCAGTACCCATGAACTAGGCAGCAGAGAAAGAGTGCAAAACCAGGAGGAAGAAAAAGAGGAGGTGCCTCTACATGTAAATGTGTGTGGCAGGGTCACTTCTTGGAAGGAGGAAAGAAGTCAGGGAGAGAAAGCTATGTAGAGATGCCAAAAAGGAAACGGGGTCTCAGACTGGGGGACTCCTGTTCTACCAGGTTCTTCCTCACTGCTAAGAAAAAGACCCTTTGGTGACTACTGAGTAAGCCAGAGATGTGGGGCTGCCCTATGTGTGGCACCTCCAATCCACTCCAGCAGTCACGCTCAGCCCAGTCACAGACTCGTGCACCTGGAGGCCAACGAGGTTCAGGAGTCAGGGGCCAGGACTCCATCTTTCCCAGTGCCTCTCTGCTCCTACTCACTTTCTGGGAAGAACCAGCCCTAGACAGATAAGGAGGGTAGGGGTGCAGCAAGGGGTATGAGGAACTCAAGTTGGGAGGGAGGCATCATCTGGAGAGGGAGGCCCAGCAAGGCCTGGAGAAGGCCCAATGAGGGCCAGTCACTTTAAGGTGTCATCAGCATTTTTAAACATGAGAATGGCGTTATAGATCTTCAAGGCTGGGCCCAGCTTGACGCTCATGATCTTCACAATGTCCGCCTGTGTCAGCAAAAGGAAGGCCTCGCCGTCAATCATCTGAGGGGTCAGGACAGGGAGGTGGAAAGTGGAGAAGGTAGAAAGGATCATGGGGAAGGAGTGAAGGAAAGGCAGGAATATGTATGGCGGGGAGGGGAGTAAAGGATATGTTTACATGTGGGGGAAGGGAAAAGGAGGGACATGGGGAAGAAGAAGGAGGACCCGGAGAAAGGAGAAGGGAGGGAGAAAGGAGAAAAGGAAGACAGCAATGGGGACGGAGAAGGAAAGAAAGAGCCACTGGTTCCACTGTGTCGCACACATGCACTCTCTTTCTCTTTCTGCTGACTAGTCTGAGTTTCAGCATTTGTCTTTGCAAAATGTTTCTGGAGTCCTCATGGCAGTGGCTTCAAGAACCTGCTACTGCTACATAATTGTGGGGCTCAGTATAAAATGACAATGTAGAACTGCTTATTCAAAAGTTATTAAGAATTTCAAGAGTCTTAATAACTGAGCATTGAGCGTAAGGTTTGGTAGACTGCCTGTGAAGTCAGCCCTGCTCACAGCCTAAGCAGTTTTATTCATTGGCCATCCTCTTCACTGTTTCCTAACTCCTCTGTAATCTGTGTAATGACCTCCAAATCAGTAAGTGCGATTAATGTCTCTGAAATGCCAAAAGCAAAAGCAAAGACAAAATGAACAAAAAAATCCCTCTTGTCCCCACATGAAGCCATTGGTCAATCCTAGTGTTGCTAACAGAGAATTAGGTAGACAACAGGTGTGTTCAGAGGTGATGCGGTATGAGGTACACCATGTTACCCCCTGACCTATTCTTGCCATAAAACAGAATGAGAGTGAGAGAGAGAGAGAGAGAGAGAGAGAGAGAGAGAGAGAGACAGACAGACAACCTGAACCTAAGCAACACTTTGGATCTGACATCTAGTTTATAGGAAATATAGGCAGTTAGAGAAACAAGTTAAGCAACACCACAAAAAAGACAAATCCAGAAGGGGACATTCTGCAGGACTTTAAAAAATGTCATGAAAAAAGAAAAGAAAAAAAAAAGGGGATGGGGCTATTATAGAACAGAAAATGTTTAAGAGATATAACAGCCAAAATCAGTTATGTAGGTGTAATTTGGATACTGGCTCAAAAACTGCAGAAAATGTTAGGAGGCAACTAGGGAAAGTTGAATATGGCCTGGGTAAGGGTTGACCCCAGAGAGCCAAGTGAGATGATGATACTGTGGTTGTGTAGAGATTAGTTTCAGAGATCTGAACTACAGTACTTGAATGAAACATCATGATGCCTTCATCCGAAAACAGGTAAAAGATGAAGCAAGTATGTGAAATATTGCTCATTGTTCATCCTAGGGTATACAGGAAGAAGCCAGTTGTGGAGGAGGGAGTAAGTTGAAGAGAGCAGGAGAGGGAGGCTGTGTGGGGTAGGGATTTGGGAAAGGGGAAATCTCTCAAAAGTCCACCAACAGGAGAATTGTGGTATATTCATGAAATGGAACACTATTCAGCAACAAACAAACTATAAGTACACAGAGCAACACGGAAAAACCTCAAAAACTACATTGAGCCAAACAGAACAAACCCAGAGTATGTGCTGTCTGATTCCTTTTATAAGAATATAAGAACAGGCAAAGCTTATCGATGGTACTAGAAATTAGAACAGTGGTTGTCTTTTGGGGTAAAGACTGACTAAAAGGGACTGAGAAAGAACTTTCTGGTATGATGGACATGTTTCTGTCTTGATTGAAGGGTTGGGTTCAAGTGTATATATACATTTCACAAAACCTGAGGCATGGACTTTTAGGATGACTGCATTCCACTCTACATACATCTTATCTCAGTTTGAAACCATCTAGGTTAGGAGGTATGAGCTTAGCATGCCCAAGGCCCTGTGTTCAACCTCCAGCACCAAAAATAATCAAAAACCAAAACTCCAAACAACCCATTTAGGGAAGCAGCAATCCAACGTGCTCCACGTTGATCAGAGTATGGAAACAGGAGCTAGGGGCACAGCAACCCAGAGGCAAGGGGAGCCCCCAGAATGGGGAGTACTGGGGGAGCTCCACCACACAGGATCAGATGAAGGCAGCTGTGCTGGGCCTGGACAGAGAAGTGGATTTTCTCTCATAGGCACCTAGCCCAGAGTAGCTGCATGGGCAGCGGAGACTACACTTTCCTGGGTGGAGGAGGACATACAGGACATTCCTTCCTCTTGAAGGAATTCCTAGACAAACTCAAAGATCCCTTCCAGCTTTAGTCTTGACAAATTCGGAGGATCATGATAGAGTTCCTTGTTTAAGGGTAACTGTGCACTAAAAGTCAGAATGCCCATTTATAGAGCCCCCACTGTATCAGGCTTTCTGATGTAGTGGTAGGATTTACATATGGCTCTATAATGTTGCTATATCCATGTACACACACTCTAGTGATGCTACATCTAATTATAACAGACACCCCGATATAGTAATTCCCTCATTTCCAATGCTCATTATGCCCTGCACAGTGCTCCTCATTGCACTCTATCTCCACTGTCCAGACAAGAGGCAGGCTCAGGGACAAGGGACAAACAAGTTTGGGAGCTGGGATTCCAATCCAGACTGTTTCCAAAGCTAGCATTCTTTTATCTGTATCTCACTGCATCTTAGCTTTGCTAAGCTCTTTGGCCTGGGTTTTGGTGTTAAGATCCTTATAGTAAACAGTAACACCTGTACCACTCAAACTGTGCTTTGGGCTGGGGCCGTAGCTCAGTGGCAGAGCACCTGCTTAGTCTGTGTGAAGCACTGGGCTCCATACCCAGCACCAAAACTCCAAATGCTTCAATTCATTGACTGTCACTGGTAAAGCTAAGTTTGGCAAACAAAAGACTGGGCAGAGAGCAGAGTAGCAAATGGAATCCTATCTCTAGGCTGCATTTTCCTTCCTGAAGAGGATCTGAACACAAGGTATCCCAAAGCTGGGCCATAGTCCATACCCGATTCTTTCCAGAGATGTAGGTCAGTATTACTAATCCTGTCCAGGTGAGCAAAAGATCCCCGTTAGCATGCACGAGGCCCTGGGTTCAATCTTCCTGTTAGGGAAGCGCTGGTCAGGGCACTTGCTTCCTGCCGTCTCACTGACATAGTGACCTTGTCTCTGCCCCCCAATCCGCACTTGCACCTTACCTCGTCTTTGAAGAGGCGCGCTTGGTCCTCACAACCTGTCAGGGTCTGAACGAAGCCAAAGACCTTGGAAATCAAAGAAGCTGTGTTGACCAGGGAATGGCTTGGGAGTACAGGGATGGGGTTGCTCTGTGTGGCCTTGGGCCAGACCAGTGCTTCTTTTCTCATCACCCTGTGTCTTGGTGCCAGTGGGTATTTAAGGGGAGGGCCCTTGCTCCTGAGGCTCAGAGCCGAAGCCTGACTCTCTTTTGCTGGATTCCCAGCTGGGTTGGCCCCTGCCTATCATCATGAGTGGCCTATGGGACAGCATCTCAGCCAGGCCCACTGGGCAGCTAAGGGACTGTTGATAGGAGGGAAAAGCAGGAGGAGGTGCTGTAAGAAATGGTATGCATGCGGTTCCACACGCACAGGGCCTTGCCTGAGTCTTCTTCCACCAGGGGGTGGGAAGAGGGAGAGGGAGGGCAGAAGGAAGAGGAGAGAGCCGAAGAAGGGCACCTTACCTCCTCAATGGTCCACTTTGAGACTGTGGAAGCTGAGATGCCCGCCACTCCTGGCAGCAGCTTGCAGTGCTGCTCCCAACACACAGAGAGTGAGCGGTCAGGGTGGGCTGACAAGGCCGACATGAAGAGGGACTGGTGCACGACATTGGGAGGGAGGGCTGCAAAGCAGAGGCAGAGGCTGGCGAGCCAATGCTGAGGACTGCTCATACCTGTGCCACCTGGGAGACTAGCTGGCACAGCATACAGGTTCAGGGCCTCTTCTGAGAGCCAGCAGAGCCAAGAGAGTGACCACATCCCCTGACCACTCACCCGGTGTCACTCCTTTTGGTCAAGAGGAGCCACTCACTTACAGATGCTTGGGTCAGTTGGGTGGGGTTATCTTAAGCCCATTGCTCTGGGCTGCAGCACCCCAGGCCCTCCAAAGATGCTCTCAGAGTTGCTATGGCTTCTCTAAAGACACTTTTTTTTTTTTCGGTACTGGGGCTTGAACTCAGGGCCTTCATCTTGAGCCACTCCATCAGCCCTATTTTTGTGAAGGGTTTTTTGAGATAGGGTCTCACAGAACTGTTTGCCCAGGCTAGCTTCAAACCACGATCCTCCTGATCTCTGCCTAGGATTACAGGTGTGAGCCACCGGTGTCCAGCAAGATACTTTTATCTGGATGCTTGGCCTCAAAGTGGTCCCCAACACCCAAACATGCTTGGCCCTGATATCAGAGGTGCATTCTGTTTGCCCTTCTTTCCTAAGTTCTTTGGGTCCTGACCAGCTCTCTCAGAGCTGGCACCAGAGGGCTCCCCAACTCCACACTGCCTACTACTTGCTTCTTGCTCTGATTGGGAATCCTGGCTCCATGGATCTGATAACAGATGCTGCTCTGCCTGGCTTCCCTGGCAGGCCTCGCACTTGCCCCCTTGCGACTTCACCCATTTCAACTTCTCTAACAACCAGGCCCACCTTCATGGTACTGAGGTTGATCTCAGGGCCTCATGTTTGCTAGGCAGGCACTCTACCATTTGAGCCATACCTCTGCCCTGAGAGCTGATTTTTCTTACTCGCATGGTAAATTCCAGATGCTTACAAATGCAGCACTTCTGGTGCCCTCTTCTCCACAGCCTTCCCTGCTCATGGAAGCCTGTGCTGCCTCCTCTCCTTAAGCCTCAGCCTCTCATCAGACTCTTCTGGTCCTCACACTCACTACCAGGCCTTGAGGTCTCATCGCTAGCCCCACTGACTGATGCTCTCTGTAGCCCTCCCCTCTTGGGGCCCTCTGCTGCCCAGCACAAGTAGAAGAGCTGCCCACCCCAACAGCCCCCTTAAGCAACACCAGGGCTGCTTCCCCACCCATTGGCCAGCTCCTCTTGTGACCAGTTGGAGGACACACTCAGGTTTTCCCCAAGATCCACAAGCACTTCATCTACCTGGCCATGCTTTGGCCTTTCATCCACCCACGTGCTTGCTCTTTGTATCCCTAGGTCTGGTCCTCTTCACACCTCAGGATGGGCTTGATAGACAAGAACAAGTTCTTTGGGAGCTTCCCCCATTATCTTTTTCCCTAGAGGAAGCCAGGCTCTCACAGGCAGTCATGATGTCTCATCTAACTGCAGGTCAGAAACAGCTCCTATGGTTCTTTCAAACAGCTGATCCTCCTGGGGTCTCTACAGTGAGCACAGGCTAGGCCTCCCAGGAGGCCCTTCCCACAGAAAGAGTCATCAGCACACACATAGTGAGCCCTGAGGAGGTTCACCATGGTCCATGAGGCATTTCCTACAGAAGGATAAGCAGTGACCAGTGTCCCTTTTGGGCAAGTAGCCAGCTACTACACCAGGGGAGCCCTGCACAGAGGTCAGAGACCTGGGCTCTGTTCTTGCAGTGCTTTGAGCCTTATATCACGTCCTTCTTCCCCAATTTGGGCCACAGTCTCAGGTGCTGGAAAGATGGACTTCCCTATAATTCTACACAGTGGGTCGGGGGGCGCCCTCTTGAGGTTAGAATTTGGTTTTGCAATGGGAGCTGATTAGGCATACCATGGTGGGCAGAAGAGGAGCCCACTATAGTCTGATCCTCAGAAGCCCTCATTGGAGGGCTGAGAGTCTGAACAAGACTCTCACCATTCAAGTTGAGGGATCAGAAAGTACCTTCTATTTCTACCAAGAGGGAACACAGCAAGAGGGAGTCTGGCAAGAGACTGAGACTAGTAATGAAACCTGCTGTAGTGATACTGAGCACTTTTCACGGATGTCTCACTCAGGCCTCCCACTACACCATGGGTAAAGAACTATCAATCAGCATCTTACAAATGAGGATGCTGAGGCTCAGTGGGACACCAGGGATGCTTACACACTAAATGGACTGTGCAAACGTGTAGCAAGAAGTCAGCTTTCTGCAAGCCAAAGAGAGAGGCCTCCAAAGTCACCAATCCTGTGTGCTCACCATCACACTGAGGGGAGGACATGAGAACAGAGGACCCCCCACTTACTCTGGAAATCTTCCTGTGGAATTTTGCGAAACTTTGGAGGGCGTCCGATCCTGGAGAGAGAGGGACCAGGGCCGCAGCAGGGGATCAGTGGCTGGCCCAAGAGGACATGAGGCCCCACACCCAGGAAGCCCAGGCCCTGACTCCCTGGCCTCCGCACCGGCCATGATGGTGAGGCTTCTTCCTTGGGGACAAGCTTGAGAGATTCTTCTTCCGGGCTGAGGCCTCTGAGTCGGAAAGCTCTGCTTTCAGTCGGCTCTGGTTCCTCTCAGCCAGTGGGCAGCCCGAGAGGCAATGGTGAGCTGTGAACTTGCCTGTGACGTGGCCAGAGCCATCACAGCCAGGAGTGGGGCACTTCCTGGGGAACAAGAAGGCTCAAATGGGGTGGATCCACAGAGCTCAGTAGCTCTTCCCAACCTTGGCCCTGTTCAGAGGTCTTAGTGAATGGTAGTGGGCTTCACTGTATAGGTGTAGACAGACCCTCAGAGCAGGGTCTCTGGGGAGGAGGCCTTCACTCACCGGTGGTGAAAGCTGTACTTGGAGGTCCTTGTGTGGGATAGGCTCCTGTAGCTGAGAGGGGGGCAGCTCCCAGGAGAGGAAGAGCTGGGCTCTCTGGGACCTGGAGGGGCAGGAAGAGAAGACAGCATACAGTCATAGGGGTCGGGACATAGAGAGCAGCAAAGGGGCAAATTTCCATGTGGGAGGTCAGCACTAGAAAGTTCCTCAGGAAGAGCCCTGAGCCATGCCACCCCTCCAGCCCCTAGACATTTGGCAGGTGTTGGGGAAGGAAGTCTTGGCTCTCATATTTTTTGCTGTGACCTGCAGTCATGCACTCAGTCTCTGAGCTGGAAACCCAGGCTTAGTGTAGCAGGGTGAGCAAATGGGAATCCTAGAGCCCCCTGGACAGGCTATAAGAAGGGAGGGTTGTCAGAGGTTTGTGGAAGGAGAAAGGACAGAGTGTCCTGGGGGTACCCACGGAGAGGTGGCTCCAAGGGATGTCCTGTCTTGGAGCACCATCCTGCAGGGTGGATGTCTGGATGGTCAGCATCAATCCAGAAGTCATAGCTGTGACTCCAGCCATCAAAGTGGAGCTGGGGAGGAAAGGGCCCTTGGAAGTCAGACACTTCTCTTGCAGCCCAGTTCAGCTGGGATGCCCTCCAGGCTGCAGGAGGTTCTCCCCATCCCTGGGGCCTGTGAGAAGCAAGATCCTGGATTGAAAGAACCCAGGGGCCAACCCAGAATAATTGTCCTCAGCCCACATTTCTAAGGGTTTCCCTGGTTAAATTCCAAGCCCACAAAAGTAGATCACAGATGAGGAGAGAATGAGATCCTAGGCCTTTGGCTTCCTAGCTCATGCCATACACTGGACCTTTAACAGAATTCCTGCTCAACTGACCTGTCCACTCCTCCACCCTAGGGTCCCAGAGTCACCTCTTTTTTTTTTTTTTTGTAGTACTGGGGTTTGAACTCAGGGCCTACACTTTGAGCCTCTATACCAGCCCTTTTTTGTAACGGGATTTTTCAAGAAAGGGGCACGAGAACTATTTTCCCAGGCTGACTTTGAACAGTGATCCTCCTGATCTCTGCCTCCTGAGTAGCTAGGATTACAGGCGTGAACCACCAGCACCTGGCCCCACAGCCACCTTTATTCGATGATCCTCCACATCTTCCACACTGGCCACCCGAATCAGGGCTGGGTTCCTGCGGTCCACGGCCTCCAGTTTCATGTTGACCAGAAAGTTGTGAGGGGGTCGCTGTAGGGGGACAGTTACTTTCAGGTCAGAGTCCAGCTCAGCAGAGCTGAGAAAGGAGTCCAAGTGTTGTACCTAGGGAAACTGTGACCCAGGCAAAGAGGGAAGCCAGAGTCCCATCCTGGCTGAGAGCTCCATGCCTTCCTGAGCTCAGCTCTGGAGAAAGGGAATGTTGACTCACCACTTTGAAGGCCCAGGTGGGCACAGCAGAGGTCCCAGTTTCTTCTAGATAGTTCTCCCAGCAGAAGCTATCAGGGTCTGGGTAGTCTGGAGAAGAGAGTGAAAGCAATGTCTAGCCACACACATGACTTGGGGAGCTCTCTGCTTCCAAGTAGGAACACCAAAGGGGTAGAATCTGCCCCACATGGCCACAGCCAACAAATTGCACTATAAATGGGTACTGGTGAGAACCAATCATGCACTACTCTAACAGCTCACAGGGCCATCTGGAAACCCTAGCTCTTACCAGCTGTGATCCTCTCCTCCCACCTCAGCCCCATCTAAAGTCTACTGCACTGGGCCAGTGGAGTTCCTGGGAGGAAGGCCATATTTCCTTTGCTTGGGAAGCTGCTCTCTTGCTGAAGTGGTTGTCTAACTTTCTTCCCCTAAACTTCACTAGAATCAGGGTTTCATAGGATGCTCAGAAAATCAAATGGTTCTTAACAGGTAGGCCAAAAGGCTGAGGCTGCCCCCTCACCCTCACCCTAACAAGCCCACTAATGAGGTATTGGTAAGGGGTCAGAGGACAGGGAGGTGGAGCCAAGCCTGGGTAGAGCATGTGCTAGGGTCTCAGGGTCACCTTGTGGAGGGGTGAGGGGCTTTCCTTGCTTCTGGCACCAGCCCACCGGATGGATGTAGGGACTGCTGGCATCACACCTGAAACCCAAGAATATGTTACTGTCCCAAAAGAAATGTGGAGCACTGAGCTTGCCATCCACACAGGAGGGCTTCAGGGCCCACCCCCTCCTACTTTTTTTTGGTGGGACTGAGTTTTGGGCGGGACTGAGTTTTGGGCAGGTGCTCTGCCACTTGAGCCGCCCCTCTCCATCCTACTTCTTAGTGAAGGAGGTAGGTGGCTGATGCAGGGTCAGAAAACTGCCACATTAACTAAAAACTCTTACACACCGTAACCTCTAAGGGAGAGTTCCAAGTCACTGGGTTTGCTCATCTCAACCAGATAATTTTAGATACAACATGTAATATTTAGCTGTATTTCTTATGACACAGCTCAAATCCACAGGACAGTCAGAGAGGAGTTGCCTTCTGCCCATCATCCCCTTTCCCCACAGGTCAAGTCTGGGTCCCCCCAGTACCAGTAGTCATAAGTATCGTCCCAGTTGTCAAAGTGCACCAGGAAGCGGCTGTCCACCACATCGGTCACACTGGCCACACACACGAGGGATGGGTTCATGCGGTCAACAGCCTCCAGCTTCATGCCCACCTGGAAGCCCAGGGGTGGAGGACTCTAGAGGTAAGAAGAGGGCTGCCATGGCCAGGGCCAGGCCTGGCTATTGCTAGCCCAGAGCCTACTGGCAAACATAGGAGCAAATTCTGTAGGAGTGGTGCCTGGCATAGAGGAGAAGTGAGAGAGAAATAGGCTGGGGATGAGGGTGTCTCCAGGGAGGAGTCATAACCCATCCTCTGCGCCATTCAGAGACTTCTGGCCCCCAGGTGCACTGAGAACAGACTAACTTGTGGCGGAAGGAAGTGATCGCAGGAGGCTTATGTGTTTACCTAAGGAGTGTGGCAGACTGAGGACAAGTCCTCTACCTGGACAAGCCTTGCCTGCTTTAGCCTGAGGTAGGTGGTGGGGAAGGAAGCACTGAAATGTGCCTTTCTTGAGGGAAGTAGGGAGTGAGGAGAGATCCAGTAGTAACTGGGCACCTGCCTTGTACAAGGCAGAAGTTTCAAAAGACATCACCACCCTACATCTTTTTTTTTTTTTTTTGTTTCCCACCACCCTACATCTTTACTATGACTCCAAAGATAAATACTATTGTTCCCTTCATAGAAATTAAAACAGTTTGACCCAGAACACAATGCTTGTCAATGGCAGGGCCAGAATTTAAACAATTCCTATTATAACAACAGGTGGGACTTCACCAGTCAACTGGGAACCAGCAAGTATGGTCTCTGGGCCTGGACTGGGAGAGAGAACTCTCTCTGCCTGAACAGCATGGTACACTCCCTTGTCCACAGAGACCCTGGACATTCCTTTTTGTTTGTTTGTTTTGGTGGCGCTGGAGATCCAAACCAAGGCTTCACTTATGCTAAGCAGGCACTCAACTGAGCTACACCTCCAGCCCCCAATCTAGTAATACTTTTAATGGGGTTCCCTCTATCTCTCACACACCCTTTGTTTGGCATCAGGTGAAATACTTTAACTGTTAAATAAAGCTGCCAACTGCCTTGAACAGATTAAAAGACAAGGGGTGAGCTGCTGGGAATGAATGGGAGAGCCTCAATGTTAGCAGAAGAGAAGGAAAAAGAAGCTCCTGGAATAGACTTTGACTTTACATCAAAGAATTCCAGAGTGCAAAGGAAAACTGGTGACATGTCAGTGCCCATTCTAAAGTAGTGGCCTAGGGGCTGTTCATGGGTTCTACATGTGGGCATGTGTGGAGAAGGAGAATTCTACAAAGGTAAAGGCTATGGTTAGATTATGTCCCCCAAAGGCTCCTGTGCTGGAGCCTTTCATGTGGCGATATAGAGAGATGGTGGAACTTTTAAGAGGTGAGGGCTAGCAGGAGAGAATTCAGTTACTGGGGGCATCACTGTTGGAAGAGATTAATATAGTTCTTGCAGGACCCTGATTAGTTTCTAATAGAGTGAATTCTTGTTAAAAACAAAACAAAACAAACCCCAAGTGGCTCCTGATCCCTCTGACTTCCAAACTCACCCTGTGATCTCTTCCACATGTGCTCCCACCACTGTGGTACCATTTTCTATGAGGCCTTCCTTAGAGGCAAAACTGTGAGCTTCTTTACTCATTATCCAGCTTTGGGTATTTTGTCATAGCAACAGAAAAATAAAACAAGACAAGATGGAAGGAGGGAACTGGGGAAAACCTATAACCAGCTATCCCCACCACCACCTCTGACTCTTGGCCCTGCCCAGCTATGCCCCTTGCACCTGACAGGAGAGACCAGAACAAGGCTGACAGCAACAGAAGATGAGCTCTCTGGTGAGTAAGATCCCCTGGGCTGGCTGCAGGAACTCTGGCCTGAGGGGTGATGTCCACTCTTGCTCAGGGGCACTCACGTGGCTCTGGTTCACAAACAGGTGCTTGGGGGCCGCCTGAGCTCTTGTGCTGCGCAGGTACTGGCTCCAGCTGAACTCCTCCTCCTTGTAACCTAGGCCCCTCCGGGGAATGAACAAGCGCTGTGCAGAGGCTGGGCCATGCTGAGGGGCCCCCACATTGAGGCAGCAGAATCAGGCAGGCCTGAGGACCCCCATAGCCCTCAGGGACCCCCTGGCAAAGCAGGTCAGGACCTGAGTGAATACTCAAAGGGCAAAGAAGCAGCCCTGGGTTTTGTGTCACTCTGGCTCCAGGGTAGTTGTATCAGAATGTGATGGAGAGGCTGATTTTGGACCAGGGTACAGGAGTTGGCAACCATGGGAGCTGGATGGGGAACCAACAGGGAAGAAGAGGTGGGTCTGAGGACTCAATGCCTCCCAGGACCAACACAGGTAAGGTCTTACCTTTAGGAGGTTGCAGTTTGTGCCCTGTCTTCTCAAACCAGCCAGCAGGGTGAATGTCAGGGGAGTTGGCATTGACCCAGAAGTCGTGGCACTCAGAATACCCATCAAAGTGCAGACGGAGACGATAGCCACACACCTGGGTCCGTGAAAGGAATCACAGGGACTCCAATATCAGCAGATGCCCTACTCCCTATCCCTCACCTCTTCTGGCCCAGTCTATGGTCTCAGGGCTCCAATCCTAGCAGGTTCCTCAAACCCATCTTCTTTCTTTCCTTCCTCCCTTCATCTCTTTCTTCACCCCACCCCCCAACCCAAGTCTCCCATTCTGCAGTAAGGACAGTTCTGAGAGCTGGAGGCAAGATAGATGACTCTATGGCAGCCTCCTGTCCTCCTGAGCCCTGGACAGGACTTGGAGGGTGTCACAGGCTCAGGATTGCTCAGGGTCCCTGATGGCCTTTTCTTCTGCTACCTCCTCTAACTGCTCCCCACTCACATGACCTGTTATGGGCTCATTCAGGTCATGCCCTTGAATTCGGTGGGGCCTGCTCCATGCCCCAGAGACTTTGCTTCTGTTTTTTTTTTTTTTTTTTTCTTTTTTTCAGTACTGGAGATTGAAATCAGGGCCTCTTAGCAAACACTATGGGTTTTGTGCCACCTTGGCTCCAGGGCAGTCATATCAGAAAGTAACAGAGAGGCTGGCTAGAGCCATGCCCTTGCTCCTCACTTTGTTTCTTCTGCCTGGAGCTCCCCACTTATTCATAGCTCCTCTCAGGGCTCAGCGAGAGAGGCTCTTCCTGTAATGCTCTTCCTGCCCCCTCAAGTTAAATGGAGTACTCTTACCCTCTGCCACCCTGTGGTATGTCACTGATATGGTCCCTGTGAGCTCCTAGAGGACAAGGAGCTGGTTTCAATCAAGTTAGCTCCCCTAGCCTTAGGATCTCTCTTCCTCAAGCTCCCCCACATGGACCGTATATGCCATTCAGTAGCACCACCACCCCACAGCACTTCATCTGTTTTTTACTCTTTTAGTTTCCTCTGTGTTCCAACTTAATTTTGTTTGACTATGCTTTATGAGGCAGGGCAGCGTCTCCTTCTGTGACCCCAGAGACCTCATCACGCTCCACTAATGATGTCATCAGAAAGGTAATACCCATACCCGCTTACCTCAGCCACAGTGAGGATGAAGTACATGGATGGATGTTGAGGGTCAATGCCTTCCAGCTTCATGCCCAGTTTGAAGCCGTTCTTACTGTGAGTGACTGCCTGGGACTGTCAATGCACAGAGTGGAGAGGACCCAGCTTCCATCCAGCCTTATCCTTGCCTAGTGGGCTTGGGGTGAAGGAGCTGCCTTTAGGCCCCACCCACCTGGTGTTTCCAAAAGGGCAACTTGTCTGGGAATTGTCCCGCAGGGATCCAGAGAGGAATGAGGGACTATTCTGAGGGGGCCAGGGGTTAGGGATGAACTTAAAGACTCCTCAGCCAACTCATGAAAAGGTCAGTGTGGAACTGAGTAGAAGGAGACAGAAATAAAAATCTGCAGGCTCAGAATGAGCCTGGGCATCACCTCCCCCATTTCTTTCCATACTGGAAACCCCCGCAGAGGGCCCTTTCTACTTCGGGCATCTAGCCAGTCTCTCTTTCTTCCACTCTGCTAGCCCATTGAGAAATGTCAGACAGAAAACACCAGAAGGCCTGAGTTTGGCAGTGAGTCCTTGAACCAGGAAGACAAGCTCTTCCAAGGTGGAGATTTCCCAACTCACGTCCTGGAAGAGGCTGACGGGGGCAGTGATGGCCTTCTGCTCCTCCAGGTAGGACTCCCATGACCAGACCTCCTTCTTCTCACTTGATGCTGTGCGAGGAGATAGACAGGTAACTCCTGGGCTGCTCCTGAGGTACAACTTTGCTCAATTTCCCTGGACAGAACTCTATGTCTTCTGATAAGTGATACAGGGGGAAGATGAGTAACAAGTCCTGAGCCAGAGGACTTAACCACAGCCTACCTAAGCTCACAAAGAAAAAAGAGGAAAAAGAGCAACAAGAGGGAAATGGAAAGAGGAAGCAAGGGAGGAGAGAGGATGCAGAGAAACAGGAAACCTTTTGTAAAGTTCTTCTTCCCTGAAATACTTATAGGCACACATTTGTGTGTGTGCTTGTTGTGTTCCAAGTGGATGGGTGACTCCACAGCCCTCCCAAACATAAACATGCTGTGTGTGAGTGTGTGCACACATACACATGCACATGTGCTCTCATGCACACGCAACACATGCAACACACACACACACACACACACACACACACACACACACACACACACTATAGTGAGGACCTACTGCCCAGATCCTGCTTATAGCTTAGAGTCTCAGTGTCCTGGGGAGGAGAGCTGAATTCCCCTGCCTCTCACCCAGGGGACAAACACCCTTTAAAGGCTAAAATAGCCAGTTACATGGAAGGTAGGCCGACCAGATCAGCTGAGCTGAAGGCCACAGACAACAAAGAGGTAAAACTCACAAGAATCAGTTCATATCCCTTGAGTAAATAGCTCTAGCTTCTTCTGGAAACTTCTAAGCCTCATTTTGTCATCTATAAAATGCAGATAATTTCATCTACCATAGATGGTTTGTTCATGACACTGTGTGCTAGACTCCTTCCTGGTCTCCATGATGTCTGTCTGACCTGCATCTGAGCTCTGCCATGCTCTGGTTCACTTAGCTACTCTGCTCTGGATTCTTTAGGCTTGGAGTGGGTCATCATTCTTGAAGATTTTTTTTTTTTTTAAATCTCAGTTGGAATCTAAGTGGTGAGAAGCACCTGTCCTGCAGTTGCCTAAATTCCAGTCACTGCACCAAACCTTGAGATACCAACTGCCTGACCCAGCTGAGCCAAAGCAAATAATTCATTTATCAACTGCTCAAGTGAGCCATCCAACTCTCAAAGATCTATGCCAACATGCCAATCTAGAGCACATCTCTTCAGGCTATCTGTCCTGAGTGAGACCCAGACTGACCTTACTATGTTCCCCTAGGAATCCTCTAACTCCCCACTCAGGTTCGTCCCTTCCTGAGCAGGGGAAAGAGAATCGAGAGCAGACCTCTGCATGCAGGGGAGCATCATCTTGCTGTTTCTTGCCACTAGGATTCCACATCATCCTGCCTAACACCCCTAATTTTCCCAAATCACCTCCAATATGACCAAGCCCATTTCTATTCCCCTGGATGAAATTCTTGCCTCACTCTTCCTGAACAGTAACCCAAGCAAAATCTTGCTTTGATTCTGAGGTCGCTTCCCCTTAGATCTTTCAACATGGTCAAGTTCTAAGAACTCCATGTCAGAGCAGACACGTCTGACCAGCACCTCTCTACCTCTCTTACATCACCACCCCTCAATCCTGCCACTTCCCTCCTTGGACCTGTGGTCTCTTGATGCTCTCACAGGATGTAAAACACAATGAGTCTGCAGCCTTCAGTTTACTGCCAGCACCACTTTGTTTCATCTTAACCATTCCTTTCACCATTCAGTGGAGCCACCTGTGTGCCATGTCTCGTACCAGAAACTGGGAGGTACAGAGATTTCACATACATCAGAGACTTCATAAACCTCATCTCCTGTAGTCCTCCCATGCCTTGAGGCGATAGGAAGGGCTCGTCGTATCCCTCTCACAGATGAAAAAGAGATGGGATGCAATCCAGTGCGAAGAGGCCTGGCCACAACACCTTTCGGTAATATCTGGACTCCTTCCGTGGACAAGCTCCTGGCTTCCTGCAGTTTCCTGCATCCTTCCTCCGTTGGTGAACATTGCTGAACCTTTAATCACAAGCCACATAAGTCCCAAAGCTCCTGTGTGTAATTTGTATACTGCACATCCAAGCACAGCCGAAAGGGTGAATGGGGCTGAAATACAGCCTAGGCTACTTGCCAAACCATGTGGCTGAGTCTCCAGTGAAGAAAGGTGCCCCTTCTAATTAGTCTGCTCAGAAGAGGCACCATTTTATGATGGGTACGAAGGCACCACATAGGCCAGTTGTGAAACAGAGCTTCTCTCAACTTCTAGAAATGCTCCTTTGATTTTTCTTGCTTCCTTACACTAGGTGCCCTTGGTTAGCACATGCTTTAGAAAGCTTGGCCTGGCCACACCAAACCTGCAAAAGCCTGTGGCCCTTCTGTATTCTTTATGCTACTCAATTTATCCTGTCACCCAGGCCAGGAACCTGGAAGTGATGCCGAGGTCTCTCTTTGTTCTCAGGATCCTTCTGTCCTGTTGAAGCCAACTCCTAGGTCTCTCTTGAATCTCTCTCCACTTCTCCAGTTTCCCGTCCTTGCTTTGAAACTAATGCAAGAGTCCCTTAACTGATCTCTCTGCCTCAGACTTATCGTACTGCCAGAATATCTCTAAAGAAACTTTTTTCCTTTGAGTTCTATAATAGCTTCTCACTTCCAACTAAAAAACAAAACCATACACCTTTTCACAGTCCACAAAGCTCCATGAACTAGCCTCTCCCTATTGCTCCAGGTTCATCATGAACTACCATGCCCCTGTGCCCGTGCCTTTGCACAGGCTAATCCCTTTGCTACAAAGGTCCTGCCCTACCTTGTCCCATCCTCCTGTCCTTTTCTCACCCTTCAAGACTCAGACATAGTTTTAGTACCAAGCTTAAGGATTTATACAGCATAGATGCTAAACAAATGTTTGTTGGATGACTAGATAGATGGATGGGTGGATTTAGATACTTCAAATACGACACACTATTACACTTCCCGTTCACATATCTATCTTTGCAACTAGGCCGTGAGCCTTGAGGTTCTAGGGAGTATAAATGGACCTTCTTATAGTTTGAACGTGAGTTGTCTCCAAGACTCATGGTGAAATTTAATTATCACTGTGATGGTAAAGAGTGAGGCCTTTAGAGGATATAGGTCATGAGGCTCTGTCCACACAAATGGATTCATGCCATTATCACAGGCATGGGTTAATTATCATGGAAATGGTTCCCAATAAAAAGGATGAGTTCAGCTCAATTTTCTCTATCTCACATGTGCTTGCTTGCCCTTCCACCATGGAAGACCCTTATCAAATGTCAGGATTATGCTCTTGGCCTTGCCAACCCCTGGAACCTTCAGCCAAATAAACTACTATGGTTTATAAATTACCCAATCTGTGATATTCTGTATTAGCTGCCGAAAACAGACTTAGGCAAAAAAAACCACCATCAAGACATGGGGCTGCTGGACACTGGTGGCTCACGCTCATAATCCTAGCTACTCAGGAAGCCGAGATCAGGAGGACTGACATTCAAAGCCAGCCCAGGCAAATAGTTCCTGAGATCCTATCTCAAAAAAAAAACCATCATAAAGAAGGGCTGGTGGAGCAGCTCAAGGTTCAAACCCCAGTACCGCAAAAAAAAAAAAAAAAAAAGACGTGGGGCTATTGTTTCAACAAATACCTGAACATGTGGCTTTGGAATTTGGTAATGGGGATTTGGAGGAGCATACTAGAAAAAGCTTAGATTTCCACGAACAGACCTTAAAAGACAATTCTGGCGAGGCTCTGAAGAACAGGAGAGTTTCAGAAAACGTCTGAATCTTCTTAGGGATGACCTAAGTGGCCATGACAGAACACTGGTAAGGATACAGACAGTAAAGGCCACTGTGATGAGGTCTCAGGTGGACAAAAAGCAATTTATTATTGGAAACTGGGGCAAAGGCCATTGTTGTTATATAGCTCCAAAGAATGTGGTAGAATTGTGTCAGTGTCCTCGGGCTTCATGGAACGCAGAACTTCAGAGTGATGAATTAGGATGTGTAGCAGAAGAACTATCTAAGCAGCAAAGCATTCCTCTTATTGAAGCAAGCATGACTACATTTGACTGTCTACAGTAAGATGTGAGAGTAAAGAAACAACTTAATGATAGAATTTGTAGTTAAAAGGGAAGCAGAATGGAAAGATTTGGAAACTTTGCAGACTGACCATATAAAGAGAGAAAAGGCACATTTAGGACAGCAACCCAAAGGTGTGACCAAGTGACTGATTGCTAAGAGATTAATACCAATAGAAGGAAGCTGGGTTCTACTCATGCAGACAATGGCAGAATAACCCCAGTCATTTCAGAGAACATGGAGGATATCCCACTCATCCAGAGCTCTAAGAAGGCAGAAAGGTTTGGGGGATGGACCCAGACATCCTCCATGAGCTCCTTGCCCATGGAGCCCCATGCTTGCTTCAAGCATTCCAGTCCAGTATTCACAGTCATTCCAGCCATAGCAGAGGCAGGCACAGCTGTACTTGAACCCGCTGCTTCAGATATAAACTATGGCAGCATCCACACAGTGCTATTTCTGCAGGTCCATAGAATACAAGAGCTGTGGGAGCAAGGCTTCCTCCATCTGGATTTCAAAGGATGTCACCGACAGTCTGGGGTCTCCAGCAGAGACTTCTTACAAGAGCAAAGCCAAAACAGACAGCCCCTAAGAGGACAATGTCTAGTGAAGCTGTGACAGTAGGGCTACTCCCAAGACCCCAGAACTGTAGAGCTCCCAGGGTGCAATGCCAGCCTGGGAGAACTTCCGGCACAACATTCCAACTTGTAACAGCTGCTGCATGAGCTGAGACCAGCAAAACCGCAGGAGCAGAGTTGTACAAAGCTTAGGGGGCCTAAAGTCCACCATGCATCCTGGTGGCAGCCAGGGACACTGGAGCGTTGAGGGTTAATTCTGCTTCCCCACTGGACTTGGAATTACCTAGGTGTAGCTTCTCTCTTCCCTCTTTCCTTCTCTAGGAATGGGAATGCCTGTTCTATCCCTGTACCACCACTCTGTTTCGGAAGGAAATAAGTTGTTTTGATTTCACAGGCTCACGACTGGAGGGAATTTGCCTCAGGATGAATCATGCCTTGAGTCTCACTCATATCTGACTTACAGGAGACGTTAGACTTTTGAGTTGATATTGGAATGAAGAGTTTGGGGGCTACTGAGACAGAATGATTGCATTTTGTATGTGGGAAGGGCATTGACTTTTGGGAGGAGGAGTGGAATGTTATGGCTTGAATTTCTCCTCCAAAACCTAGAATCTGTAAAGAATTAATAGACGGGGCTGGGGTTGGGGAGGGGGGTTGTCGCTCAAGTGCCTGCCTAGCAAGTGTGAGGCTCTGAGCTCAAAATCCCAGTACCACAAAAAGAAAAGGAAAAAAAAAGAATTAGGGGTAAGAAAATAAGTAACCCAATTGTACTTGTCTAAACTATAAGGCTGGGGGGTATAAAATACGAGACGGGGGTACAGCTCAGTGGTAAAGCACTTGCCTAGCATGTGTGAGCCTATGGGGTCCATCCTCAACATAGCAAAAATAAAGTAGAGCCAGGTGTGGTAGTTCATGCCTGTAATCCCAGCACTCAGAAGGATCATGAGTTCGAGGCTAGTCAGCACTACATAGGGAGTTCAAGGCCATCCTGAGCTAAGTATTGAGACCCTGTCTCAAAGAACCAAAACAAACAAAAAAGTAAATAAAGTAACTATACAGAAATAGAAAGGAAGCTCTGAATCTGCCAACGCTGTTTTGCATTGATCCTGAGGAGTGCCACCACAGACATTTGATCTGGATGCAGGCAGAATGAGAGATGACAGGAGAATAGCAGTGACAGTGACAGTCAGAGTAACTATCAATGACTAAAAGAGTTGTGAAAACTTTTATAACAGCATGAGGGAAAATGGTTATTCACACAAAATGCCAGCTGAGAACGTGAAGGAGATATGAGAGTCTGAGTTGACAGGAGTCCCACACTCCTGACTCTTAAACCACTGGAGCATTCCATCAACACTGGGTGTGTCAGGTCTGTGGAACATCAGTCCAAAGTTGGCCATCACACAGCCAAAGAGAGTGCAGATTAAAAACCTGTTCTCCACACAGACAGGAAACGCAGGCAATCCTGCTGCCCCCATCTCTGCCCCCAGATTCTGTCAGAAGACCCAGAAAGTAAGTGGGAAACATTTTAGTCAGAAATGCAAATTTGTATCTACTGACAGCATTTCTTTTCCTGAAAAAAGAAAGAAAATAGGGGAAACACTCAGAAACTAACATCACAGTAATATTCATGATTGAGATGGTGAGTGGTGTGACTTACAGACGGTGTTGAGAGTAAAGCTCAGTAGCTCATGGGTAGAGTGCTTGCCTGGCATGCACGAACCCTGGGTTCAACCCCTAGTACTAAAGAAAGAAAAGATAACTCCGTGCTGCTCAACCGGGCCCAGCTAAAAGAGTATTGCTTTATTTCTCTAAGTAAGATAGAGTAACTGGGCCACAGAGGAAAGACACTATCTCTTCTTTTACATATGGTCTGGGGCCATAAACAAGGGAGCCTTTGGCTTCTGTTGTGGCTGCCTGGGTGAAACACGGCAGTGAAAATTTGATTTAGCTGTAGTGGGCTGAAGTTGGAAGAGGTACTATAGAGTCTGGAGCCCTGGACCCAGATTAGGCTCCTACAGCTGGGAATTATCCATCAAGGCAGGATGATGGCTTAAGAACTGATCTCACCTTTCTGGTTGTCTCTGAGATGGGAAAGACAGTGACTTGTGCAACTGAACCATACCCCTTGAGAAATCACCGACATATGTCATGCATTCATGTCCTGAACAAACATTCACTGAGAACCTACTCCATATTAGGCTCTAAGCTAAGCATCCTGGATCTAGTGATTAATAAAACAAACTCAGTCCCTGTATTGATGGAGTCTAAGGTCTTAAGGGAGGAAGACATTAAACAAATTGTTATGCAGTACACAGATGATTACAAGTGTGATAAATGCTACTTAGCTCCAGCTGACAGCTTCACCTGGAACACTGAGATGGCAAGAGAAGTCCTAAGGGCTAGAGTGAACTATGAATGACCTCTGCTCCAGTTTTCTTATAGAGTCAAAGAGCCAGAATAGGGACCCAGTCAAGTCGATGACCACTATGGGCTTGCCCACACCACTACCGAGAAGCAATGCCAAGTAGTGCCAAAAATGGCTGCTCAAGTCTTCAGCTACTGAGCCAAAACTGCCCTGGCAGTGGGGCCTACTCACAATTAAATAATAAAGGGTAAATTAATACATGATATAGCCACCAAGAGCTCTCTCTCACACACACACATGTACAAAACCAGCAACAGTCTCTCAGTGTATTTCTTTTACATACCCTGATACTCATCTATCTGTGTATAACAGCATCATAGTGATGACTCATAGTGCCAGCCTCACACCTCCCAAAGTACAAACACACCTCACACAAATATATACACACAGGCCACCATACCAGGCTGACTGCTGCTCCACTCCTCACTCTCTGGAGTGCTAGTAGTAGGTTGTCCCTCTGGATCCTTTCCTTCTTCTTGCTTCTCCTGTAGAAGGAAAGCCTGATCCCAGCTTCCTGTCCTCAGGGAGGCCAGGATGAAGGCCCAGCTTTTGATATTGCCTATACCCTGGTCCTCTGTTCACATATGTTCTACCAGAAGGAACAAACCTGCAAGAGGCAACTTGGTAGCAAGGTGGGCACAGACTCATGCAAGCACATATACCCTAGCTAAACAGCCTGACTACAATTCTCAGTCCCAGATGGGGAAACTGAGTACACAAACACTTGCCCTGTGGACTGTGTCTCTTCTCACTTCTATAGCAAGAGTCCTGTATCTCCTGGTTTCTTGCCTAGGTACTGGACTCCAGTGATGGAGTTTACACTTCCCATACATCCATCCTGATGCCAGTTCATATGATTGTATCTTAACCCTGACACTAGGTTGAGATGGGAGCTCCAGGAAATCAAGAGATTGCTTTAGTTACTTCTCTCCAGCCAAGTACAGGACCTAACTCAAGATGGGACCCAAAAATATGATTAGTAAATCATAATGGATGTCTTCTTCACTCAGCCCCATGTCTGGGATTGACAAGGTGATAATGGAACTGAGGCCTGGGCTCTAGCCTCCCCCTTCCCTCCCCACTGCCCTCTTCGTACCATGGCCTCTGGTTCCGAGTCCTCTGATGGGCTCTGGTATTCTCTGTGTTTCCTCTTCTTCATGGGTTTGAGAAGCTCAGAATCAGCTGCAGAGCCTACGTTTTCCACTATGACTGACCTGAGGGAGAAGCTGCCTTAGTACCACCCAGCCCCCCATCCTAAGCTCTGAATAGGAATGGGGTTTTAGGGGCTGAAAACAGAGCACGTAAGGCTGGTCCCTTACCGCTCCTGGAACAGCTGAGGGCAGCCATTACTGGAGGAACCCAGATCTGGACCGGCACCCTGCTGAGGCCCACACCCCTGGCATCGACAGGTGCTGTGGTCCTCTGCAGGGTCCTGAGAGGGCGCTTCTGGAGGCTCCTGGGAGAGGTCCTCTGTGGGGACCAACTGGGCCTCAGGACTCTCATCCCTTTGCAGCCATATTCTGGCTCTGTCCACATCTCCTGGGGCCCTGCCTCTACGTTGGTCCCATTTCCGTACTGGACAGCCCCCCAGCCTTCTTCCCTCAGGACCGCCCCGGGCCACGCCCACACACCGAGCCCAACCGAATGGTGCCCCATCTCAACGCTTGGGGATCCGGCTCCTACCGGGGTGCTGGGTGCCCGCATCGCCACCTCCCACCGGGACCCCGTCATCTCCACGTTTGGCCAAGTCTTCTCCCCGTTGTTCAGAGATCGGTGGTTGCTCCACTCCCACCATGTTCAGCGGCGTGTACTCGCTTATCCGGAACTGGGGTGCGGAAGAGTCTGAGGATGGTGACGCATGTACCAGCCCTCGACCCACCCCGGAGGGGTACAGTCACCCACCCTCTACCTCATGCCAGCTACAGTTCCAGCAGGCCTCCCAGACCACGCCCCCAGCACCTGCAGGCCCAGGGTGCTTCACTCTAAGCCACGCCCCCAGAACCTCAAGGGCCTGGGAGTGCTTCAACCCAAGCCACGCCCCAAAGCCCCCTACTCAAAACTCCAGCCCCAGGATTGGTCATTTCAGCCAGCCTGTTTTTCTGCCCCAGGCTCCGCCCACTGCTGCAGCTCAAGTTGCCTAGCCAATCCCCACGGGCACTGACCCGCAGACCACTCCCAGGGGGCGGGGCCGAGGCCTCCGTCCACTCCAGAAGCCGCACTGTGGCGCTAGAGCTGGCCCCTGGTCCAGCGCTTAGCTGTGGCAGAACGGTGGCTGTGACTGGCTCACTGCTGGTCACTCGCTCCAGGGCGCCCACATGGATTGGTTCCCGGGGAAAGCAGGTAACATCCAGGGCACTGCTGGGCAGGCCAAGGGTGGCCGAGCTGGCTACAAACAGATTACAGATAGATGTTGCACAGGCGAGCTTGGTGGCCCTGCCTCAAACCTGCCACGCACGTGTAGGCAGGTGAAAAAAGGCAGGGGTAGGAAAGTGAAAAGTGTCATTCCCCCTCCTTCGATCCACGCCTGTTTGAACAGGTCTCAGAATGCTCCACCTCCCTGGACCTTCCCTTTGACCTACCTGGAATGATAAAGGCAGTTGGGGGTGGATGAGGACCGGAAGCTGGGCTGTCTCTGGCCATGAGGTGCACGCTGACCTCCCCCGTGGAAGGCCCTTTCAGTGTCCTCAGCATCTCCATTTCAGAACGCCCCTCCATCCTGATAGGCGGACAAGCCAAATACAACCAGCCCCCAGGGAGAACAGGAGGGGACCTTAGCTACAAAAGCAGTGGAGATGGGAAGGGAAGAAGCTTCTTTGAGGAGCGGCTGGCCACCCTCAAGCCAGCAACCTGCAGAGATAGGCCTCAGCTCTGAGGGGAGCAGGGTGTCTTAGGAGATTCGCATCAGCTCTGGCTCCACCCATGTTTGAGGGCTCTGGCCAGGCCCTGCACACACCAGACTGGTCTCGAACACTCAATGCCGAGTGTTCTTAACCCTCATTCTTAACCCTCAGTTCCACCCCCAGTAGAAGCACTCCCTTTCTTTCTCTGAGGACTCAGGCAGGGGCTACATTAAATAGTAACAGTGGCCATGACTGTTGCTTTATACATATTGTAATTGGCTTATCAGTGCTACCTCCAAAACACATTTCCATGTCCTTCCATCTTCACTGCCACTATGTCAGTCCCACCACTGTCAGGTTTCCTTGGATTTCTGAAACTGCCTACTAACCCACCTCCCTGCTTCCTCTCCTGCCTCCCTATGGTCTGTTCTCCAGGAAGAGCACTGGGCTATACTCAGTGGTAGAGTGCATGCTTAGTATGTGTGAAGCCTTAGGTCTTTTTTTTTTTGGCAGTACCGGGGTTTGAACTCAGGACCTCACGCTTGTTAGGCAGGAGCTACACCACTCCGCCAGCCCAAAGCCCAAAGTTAAAAAAATATTTTTTCCAGTAAGAAACTGCTTTAAAAACATATCCCAATAATGAAGAGATCAACTTTTTTGGCAGCAGGACTTCATGTTTGCTAGGCAGGTGCTCTTACCGCTTGAGCCACTGAACCAGCCCTTTTTTGTGATGGGTTTTATTGAGATAGGGTCTCACAAACTATTTGCCAGGGCTGGCTTTGAACCATGATCCTCTACTTCCTGAATAGCCTTACAGGTGTGAGCCATGAATACCTGGCTGTGACTGTGAACTTGTTTAAAGTATATTGTACCCATGTATGGAATTATCACAGTGAAGCCCCGCTGTATTAGTGTATGCTAATTAAAAAAAAAAATTTAAAAACAACCCGAATCATATGATTTCCGTATCTAGAATTCTTCAATGGCTCTCCATTGCTCTTAGAATAAAATCGGAGTACTTCATCCTACAGAATCTGACCCCGGTCCTCCCCTCTGATCTCATCCTCCACCAGTTTTTCCATTCACTACACTTGACAGATTTTGGTTTACTTCTGTTGCTTGGCCAATGTTCCTACCTCAGAGCTTTTGCCATTGCTGTTTCCTCCACCTGGAATGCTCTTCCTCAGGATATCTGCTTGGCTCACTCATTCCCTTCCTCCAGGTTCTGGCTCAGTAGTCACCTCCTCTGATGAAGTCTTCCTGACCACACTTTAAAGCAGCACACCTCTCATCCCATCCCGCCACTCTTAAAACTTTTTATTTCATTTACTTCCTTTGTTATAGTCAATATGATCTTCATTTATTTCTGTTTGATCCTCACATAAAGACCATCTGTCTCGTTCTGCTGTATCTCCAGTAGTTAGACAAGTACCTGGCACACAGTAGATGGCCTGTAAGTATTTCTGTTGACCTCTAGCACCACAAAATAAAGTATTTGCAAGCTAGATTTCATAGTACACGTCTACAATCTCAGCACTCAGGAGGCTGAGGCAGAAGGATCACAAGTCTGGACTTGTATAACGAGAACCTGTCTCAAAACAACAGCAAAAAGTATTTGTGTTGGATTTCAGTAATTTCTTAATTAAAAAAAAGTACTGTAGAGGGAGCAGAGTGGCGTGTGCCTGTAATCCCTGCTACTTGGGAGGCTAAGGCTGGAGGGTTGTAAGTTTGAAACCATCTTGTGTGACTTAGTGAAATCCTGTCTCAAAATAAAGCTGAAGGGGGCTGGGAAGGACTGGAAGTGTGGCTGAAGTGATAGACTGTTCTACCTGGCAAGTGTGAGGTCCTAAGTGCAAAACTCCAGTACCCCCCAACCCCCAGCACAAACCACTTTAACAATCAATACAACCACTTTCATTCTATTTATTTTGGTTTGAACTCAGGGCCTCACACTTTCTTCAGCCAGCCCTTTTTAGTGATGAGTTTTTTCAAGATAGGGTCTCATGAAAATTATTTGCCCAGGCCTGGCTTCAAACTGTGATGCTTCTGATTTCTGGATCCCAAGTAGCTAGGATTACGGATGTGAGCCACCAGTGCCTGGCTATTTTTTTTTTCCCTTGGTGGTACTGGGGTTTGAACTCAAGGCTTCAGGCGTACTAAGCAGGCTCTCCACCACTTGAGCCACTCTGTCAGTCCACTTTTGGTCTGTTGAAATTATATTCTTGGGGCACCTGTGGCTCATGCCTATAATCCTAGCTACTCAGGAGGCAGAGATCAGGAGGATCATGGTTCTAAGCCAGCCCAGGCTTAGAAAAAGGATTTGAAAAAATCCTTTTTTTTTTTGTGAAAAAATCCTTCACAAAAAAGGGCTGGTGAAGTGGCTCAAGGTGTAGGCCCTGAGTTCAAGCCCCAGTACCAAAAAATAATAAGAAGAAAGTATATTCTTAGGGCTGGCAGAGTGGCTCAGTTCAAACGCCAGCACCACCCCCAAAAAAATGAAATAAAATAACCCAGAATTGAAAATGTATTATTTTCTAATAAACTCTGCTTTGCTGTCAGTGTGCCTCTATGTCTTGCCTGAATCATCTCATGCCAGACATAAGGAACAAGGATGGATTTTCTGCTTTCTGGTGATAGATCTCTCTGAAATGGCCCATTGTCCTCTGTAAGAATGTAAACTTTTACTATTCTTAATACATTTTGCTGCTATTATTTTTATCATGAAAAAAATGGAAGCAGGAATACAGCTCAATGGTGGGAGGCCCTGGGTTCAATCCCCAGCACCACAACAAAACAAAACAAAACAAAAGCTATGTCGTGATTGACACTACATTGTTACTAGCAGCATTTGGCACTGGCTTCTGGCTCACATCTTAAAGGTGGGCCCTCGCCTAAAACAGACTTGAATAGGGATTTCAGCTCCCTCAGTTAATACCTGTGATCAAAGTAAGCAGCTTAGCTTCTGATTTTCAGTTTCCTCATGTGTAAAATGAAAGTAGCAAAGATACCTACCTCAAAGGGCTTCGGTGAAGCTTGGAGGTGAAAAATAAATACGTGTAGTGTTGATATCAGCAGGCCTTCAACAAATACCAATCCCTGTAGACAGAAATTCCTGGGAGCTTTGTGGCTATGTGAGGGGAGCTAACATGAGGGTGCTTTGCTATTCTTTCAATAAACTTTGTGCTTGCTTTAACTCTTAACTCCTGTTCTGACATTTTCAATCAACAACTTCACCAGGACACGAACTCAGGAACAACAATCCAGTATCAGCTTTTAGCCAGTAACATGGAAGCTGCTTGCAATGGTTGCTGTCTCTCTTGCCCTTCCTCCCTTCCTCTTGTTACTTCCTCCCTAAAATACAGAATTCACTCTCTATATTATAGATGTAAATAATAACAAAGGTATACACTATATGTATAATTGGATAGGCAAAGGTTATCTATCTAACTTGACTAAAACCCACCAAGAAGCTAGGTGCTGGTGGCTCATGCCTGTAATCCTAGCTACAAGGGAAGCTGAGATAGGGTGGATTGTGGTTCAAGGCCAGCTGAACAAATAGCTCCTGTGACCCCATCTTCAAAATAACCAGAGCAAAATGGACTGGAGGTGTGGATCAAGTGGTAGAATGCTTGCTTTGCAAGCATGAAGCCCTAAGTTTAAACCCTAGGCCCACCAGAAAAAACAAAACAAAAACCCAACCAAAAAAGCCTCACCAAGATGAATTGTCCCATTTTTTAAAAAGTATAAACCAGAACCCCATCAATTCCAGTTCCAGTTATTTTGCTCTGCACAGCTCAAGTATATGTACTGTTTTAAATTATTTTAAATAGAACTAATCCTTTTAATTCTGGCACACATTAAAAGTGAATGTGGTTACTTCTTAAAGAATCCCCTTCTGTTTTGACACCTGTCATATGCTCCAGGCCTCTCAAGGAAGAGAGGCTGGGAGCACTGCCTTTCTGTTAAGAGTTGTTGCCTTGTTTTGGCACACACTGGAGGACCAACTAGGTGTCAGCACCATTCTGTGCTTGGGGACCACAGCTGCAAAGAGAATAAAAGGCAGTGGTGATGCTTACATTCTAGAGATAACAGACAAGGTTGGGACTGGAGATACAAATTTGTAAGTCATCGTGTATAGACGGCATTTAAAACAGAAAGGAGGCTGCGTGTGGTGGCGCACACCTATGGTCCCAGCTACTCAAAAGACAGAGGTAAAGCGGATCATGATTGAGACTGGCCCCTGCAAAAGCACAAGACTCAACTTGAGAAAACAAACTTAAAAAGCAAAAAGGACTGGAGGCATGGCTCAAGTGGTAGAGTGATTGCCTAGCAAGCTAAAGGCCCTGAATTCAAATCCCACTACTGACAAAAAGATAAAAAAATATATAAAACATAGAAAGGAGTATAGAGAGAAAAGTGGGACCCGTGGAACCTAACGCCTACAAGTTGGGAAGAGGATCTGGTGAGAGAATGAGGCCTGCAATGAGGTGAGGGGAGATCCAGAAGGGTCCAGGCTTCTGAGGATACTGGAGAAAGTGTTCAGCCCTGTGCTGTCAGGTTCTCAAGGAACTGCCCTCAGCCAAGCAAGCTGTCTCACCCAACTGCTCTCTCCTGGACACAACCATGGATGATAAGCCGATACGGAGGTACAAATGCCCTGTTCTCTTGCCTTAACTTGGGGCATCTCTGTGGGGCCATCTCAGTTCAAGAATGTCCCTCCAGACAGGTTAGGCCTTTTTTTTTGAGAACTGATATCCATCAGCCTTTCAGTTTTTCTGCTCAATCCTGCTGTCTTCACAAACCTACTACGCTCAAATCTCAATCTCAGTGTTTCCAGGGAACCTAACTTAAAAGACCAATACATCCCCAGCCCAGAGCACAGCACAGCACTTAGTAGATGTTCAATAAATAGTTACTGAATGACAGGATCTACGTCGATTGTCTCTTGTCTGCTAAGGTTCCCCGTCACCCCTTCCTGCCCTTCGTGGCTCTGTATACAACTCATGCCCAATAAATGTCCTGACTCTAAGTGCTGAGGGAGAGGAGTTAGTGTCCGAGAGCCACACACCACACACCCAACACCATCGCACCTGCAAACTTGGAGGCCCCGCCCTGCTCCGCGCCGCAGCTGAGGCTAGGACGCGGGACAGGCGGAAGCACTCCCGCGTGCTGGCTGGAGCCTCCGCACCCACCACGTGCCTCTCAGGACTGATACAGATAGTGGCGGGCAGGGCGGTCACTGATCCGTCGGTTCCGTGGAACGGTTACTTTTTAAATGCCAAAATGGCGGATTTAAATTTTTTTTTCCCTTTTATAACCCCAAAATAATAATAATAATAAAAGCCACCTTTCGTTAAAAATATCGAAAATCAATGGTCGGAAGGAGAAAGTTTGCCAAATGGCTCATTTCCTAAGAAAACCAGAATCTGGTCCTTTCCACCCTATTTTCCATTAATAAAAACTCTTAATTGCTTGCACTTCTCTAAAAACGAAGCCTCCGCCCGCCCCGCCCCTCCTGATCCTGGCAGCGGCAGCGCCGCGGGAACGGCTCTCCCTGGAGCCCCGCAGCCGCCCCGCCCGCTCCGCACCCGTCCAGACCTGCGGAGCCACCTCCCCGGCCCGCGCCCCAGCCCGGGCGCTCGGAAGGAGCGAGGCTCAGGGCGGCAGAGCCCAGACTCGGCGTGCCGGCCGGGCTCGCGGGCGCGGCGTCCCGGGACTGCCGGGGCCCGAGCCCACTAGCTGGCGTGACGCTTACCTGCAAGGCCAGCCCGTGGCCGCCCCGCGCAGAGCTGCGGTCGGAGCCGGGCGGGGCGCGCGCCTGCGCGCACGGGGGGGGGGGGGCGGGCCGGCTCCCTGCAGGACGCAACGCGGAGCTCGCGCGCTGTCAGGTCTGCGGCCGGGGACCCCCAGACCCACCGCGCCCGCGCCCTCTCGCCTGCCCTCGCGGCTCTAGCGGGGCAGGCCTAACTGCGCCTCCTCCCTAGAGCCGCTTTGCGGCGCAGGCGAGGCGGGTAGAGTCTTCTGGCCTCACACCCCCTGCATATAGCCAACGGAGGGGGGACACGATGGCCACCTAGCCCGAAGAGAGAGTGAGCCCCGTTGGCCTCGATCTGGGTGGTGGGTGATAAGGCTGCATTCTGCACGCTCCCCAGTTGGGTGGAGTGACTTCTCACCTTCTGCCTCTCCCGCCCCCGCCCAACCTGGAGGAAAGGAGGTCTAGGAGCGTCAGAAAACTGACCAAAGAAGGGTAAAGGGCATGGAACCAGAGGAAAGGAGGCCTTGCACCACGTGGTTTCTGGCCCTGGCCCTCTGCCTGGCGTGAAAGCCACAGCCACGCCTGCCTTTGGATGATCACACTGCTGTTGGCTGATGGGATCATTACTGTCCCTGATCTTCCATTTCAAAATTGGAAAGACTTATCACTTACTTCCTGGCACATGGTTCTTTTCGTAGTGGTGCCTATTGTGTTGATTTGAGCAAGTCACGGCCCCTCTGGAGTTCAATTTCCTTAACTGATCCCTAAGCCTCCAGCTGACTTCTCTAGTCAAATCTCTGTGTTACTGGTTCTTTTTTCTTCTCTTTTTAAGTTATTTATTGCACTACTGAGGATTGAGCGAACTCTGGGCCACTGCTTGAACCATACCAGTCCTGTGGTTGGTTCTTGTAACACAAACTACATTTTTTTTTTACACATATCACGACTATAACTTCACATAGATCTGAATAATTCAAGAGTTTAAGAGACTGCAAGCTCCAAGAGGGAAGGAAATGTCAGTTTTTGTATCCCTATAGTACTTGCCAGACTGGATATTCAATAAATATCTTTTGACTGATGAACCTACTTGAATGAAACAGGGCAACTTTCCAGAGCCCTAGCTCTCTCTCATACACTGACTTTTTTTTTTTTTTTTTTTGGTGGGACTGCACCTCCAGTCCACACCCTGACTTTTGCGGTCATAGGGCCTGAACCCAAGGCCTTGTGCATGCTCAGCAAATACTAAACCACTGAGCTATATCCCCAGCCCAGTGATTTTTAAATTTGATCTCTTTAAAAAAGGAAACCGAGGTCTATTTGGTGTTAGGTCATGGCATCTCCTCAGACCACTAGGCTTCTCAGTACATATTAAAGAAAGCATCATAATGTGGGCAAATCCCCAGAATTGCTGGGATCAACACTAAAGTTTATGCAAATAACTATTCTGTTTGCTACACCAACGCATTACATGTGTTCTGCTGTGCTTGCAATGTCAATTTTTAATCACATCTCATATTATGAGGAACAGGACTGCATTGGTTAAGGGTGCTGGTTGCCATAACAATCGAAGCCTCTTTATACACACCAGAACACACACAACCATCACTTGGTTTTCTCTCCTCTTGACCCAGACTGTACTTGTTTAGGATTCCAAAGGTTTATTTTAGGTATGAGAAGATGAAAAAGAAAGTGGGGAACCTACACAAATACATGGCTTCTCAATCACAAATGCATCTTTTAGATGGTGACAGACAGACAAGTGGAGTTTGAGCAAGTGGGACCCAGGAACAAATAGCTAACACAGATCTGAGTTGCTGGATTCCACCCCACAACCCCATCAACAGTATTTGATGGTGGTGGTTAACAACTGCCTCGTTTGCTTCAACATAATCCGGAGTGGAGATCCCAAGTTGATGTGATTTGTGAAAGGTTCTGCCTCTTTTGGCCAGTTTGCCCTGCTGGTCCTGTACTGCCTTTAGGTGCTATGAAGTCCAGTCCTTCCTTCAAGTGACAGCTTCCTCTTCTACAAGTTGACAGTCCCCAATGTCTTCTCTATCTTAACCCCCTACCTAAGAGTGGACCTAATATTTGTTGGAAAGTAGAAACACTGAGAAACTTGTTGGTAACAGTCCACTCCTTCCCGTTTCTACAGGGGAGTTTAATTAACCATCGTGGCAGTTTGTGGACTTCAGGAAAATCATCAGGGTATGTTGTTTTTTATATGTGAAAACACTCTGGCTTCAGTGGCATGTTAGACTGTGCTAATAGCAAAGCCTTTTTAATACAAACACCTAAAAATTCTGCATAAAATATTACAAGAAAGGAAGTAAGCAAGCACACAAGGAAGTATATTTGCTGCCAAACTTACAATGGGAAATCCTTAGAATCAAGAAACAGAGCAACATGGGGGTGGCCTGGCATCTCGTGTCCTGCAGGTCATTGATGGGCAAAGGCAGCTCAGTGGCTGTAGTCTATAGTTTTACTGCCTACTTGGCGATAGAAGATGGAACCTTGGGCCCATGTGGTTTTGGGGCCATGTGGTAGAGGACTTGGAAGTGAAACACTGTATAAAGACTAGAAACTCTGCCCTTGTAACAGGAATTCCTTTGAAATTGTCCTTTGCTCCCCTTGAAGGAGGACTCAGTCACTGTCCTGACCAACCTGTTTTCTCCTCAGTCATTTCTCCTCAAGTTCCAGGAATAGTGAACCTTGTAGGCAGATCCCCTCAAGGGGAAACTGAATTGCCTCCTCGAGCACTGTGATTTCCCGGGTGCCAGCAGGACCCCTGGACCGAGATTTGAGATAACAACCAGCCAGACAATAGTTTTACCAAGTCTGTCCCACTGTGCATACTTCTTGCCCCCCACTTTCGTCCTTCCCCTATATAGCCTCAAAACTTGTCAGTATCCCAGAGGAAGGATTTAGGACCTGGTCCCCTGTTCTTCCAGTATGACCATACTAAATTCCTTTCTTGCTTTACTACCAGTTGTCTGATTGGACTCTCAAGGTGCTGGAGGTCCAATCAGAGAGTTTGAAAGTTCAAGAGATTCTGGGTGGTCTCTTGGGACCCAGAGTCAAGCCTGTAACCTAGGATTCTGGCAACACCCCCAGACTATATATTCAGTGAGGAGAGTTCTAGAAAAACTCAGTATACCAGTTCAGTTGGGGAGGGGGACTCAGAAAGAAAAGATTTATCCACCTGGGATACTCAGTGCCTAGGGAAGAGAGTAGAGGCAAGTCAACCACAGAAAAATCAAATCCCTAAGCCTACACTATGTGGATTGGGATTCTAAAATTTGCCCTTCCCTCCTGGTATATAGACAGCGTGAAGCTAGGAAAGCAATGCAAAAATTGGTTCTGGGCAAGCTGGGTGGTGTGATTCACACACCCAGTTACTTGAAAGGTGGAGATTTGAAGGATCAGGTTAGCCTGGGTAAAACATTAACAACAAAGAAGCTGGGCATGGTGGTGCACACCTGTAATCCCACCAATGAGGAAGGGATAAGTAGGAGCATCATGGTTCTAGGCCAGTCTGGGCAAAAAGCACTAGCCCCTATCTGAAAAGGAAAAAAAAAAAAAAAAAAAGGAGAAAAGGCTGGAGTGTGGCTCAACGGGTAGCAAGCCAAGGCCCTGAGTTAAAGATGAGGCAGAAGGTTATCAGGTTCTAGGCCAACATGGGACATGTAGTGAGTTCAAGGTCAGCCTGAGCTACACGGTGAAACCTTGTTTTAAAAACCAAAAGAAGTTCAACATTCCTGGCCATAAAGAAAATGCAAATCAAAATGACGATGAAACTTTACCTCCTTTCAGTCCGAATGGCTATCATGAAGAATACAAACAAATGCTGGTGAGGATGCAGGGAAAAGGAACCTTTATACATTGTGAGTGAGAATGTAAATTAGTGAAACTATTATGGAAATGAGTATGGAGGTTCCCCAGAAAACTAAAGTGAGGTCTACCATATAATCCCGCTACACCACTCTAGGCATAAACCTGAAGGAATGCTGAGTCAGGGTGCAGCACTCTATAACAGCCAAGCTAGGGAATCACCCAGGATGCCCCTCAACTGGTGACCAGACCAGAACATGTGGTTATGCACACAGTGAAGTATTATTCCTCATGAAGAATGGAATTATGTCATTTGTAGGAAAATGGATAGAACTGGAGATCATCATGTCAACTGAAATAAGCCAGGTTCAGAAAGACAAAGTTTGCATGTTTTCTCTATTACATAGAATCTAGACCTAAAATAAATATATATACACATATATGTTTATATATATGCACATATACATACATACTATGTAATTATGTAATTGTGGGACTGTTTGGGGATGAGGAGAAAGGGAAAGAGTGATGGGTGGGTGAATAATATCAAAATACATTGTGTCTATTTATAAAAATGACATAATGAAACCCACTGAAAACTTGAAAAATAGGGGGGATGGGAAAAGGAGAAAGCAATAGGGGTTAATCTGATCAAAGAACAAGACATGAACGTGTGGAGTATCATGGTCAAACCCCTTCATACAGTCCACTAACAAAATATACGCTAAAATAAAAAGATGTGTATTTCTCCAAAGACCCTCAGACCAGAAGTCACCAAAACATGTATTAAAAAAGAAAAATGCAAATCATGGAAAAACCAGCCATATTTACCTATCAGCAAACTTAATAAATAGGAAGATTAGCACCCACAATAACTTGGGTAATAGTACAATTTTCAAGAGATTATAAAATAAGTGTTTCTGGGTACAGTGGCAAATGCCTGTAGTTCCAGTGACTTGGGAGACTGAGGTGGAGTTCATAACAAGAACTTGTCTCAAAAAACAAACTCAAAGCAGGTCCTTAACAGGTTGCTTGTAAGGGTTAGACCAGAAGGGACTTCCCTTGCCATGCCATGCTTGGCATTTGGCTGTCATCATTCTTGCCTGATTTCTTAGAAAGTCAGCTAAAAAGCTTAATTTTGGTTGGTGACATAGAACTTTACCATGAGTAAGGCCCTTTTGGTTTGATCAATTTCTTTGGGGCTT